AGAAAAGAGGAGGAGGGGAAAGATCCTCGTCTATCAAGAGTCCCCCCCCCCCCTTTCCCTGCCTCCTCTGTCTATCTTTCCTGTGGCAGAGGACTGATGCTGTGACTTAGTGAGGACAATCCATTTTAAGAGCCATTACAAAACAGACCTCTAACAATACTGTGGGACAAAAAGTGGCTCCAATTAAAATTAAATCAATGAATACCATCCTTACTGGGAGGAAAAACACACGCCCATAGTTTCATTTTTCTCTTGAAAGATACCCACAATGCATTTCACAGAGAGATGTAGTGGGAGAAAATACATGCCCAACTGCAAGTACTTATTTCAATCAATTTCCTGGAGCTGGATTTCACAGGTCACTTGCTGATAACACGCTGTGGAATAATGCCACAGTGTGCTTCTCAAAGCCTACCTGACAAGCTGCCTGACAGTGGGGGAGTGCGAGCACGTGTCACGTCAGCCCTCTAATTGGACACAAGGACCTTCCTCCGTGGAACCTTGTCGCGCTCCACACAAGCTCACAAGGCCTTCAAACCAGGCCCATCTAACTTGGCAACGAGTGTCTGCCTCACTCCTGTGGAGCTAGTGCTAAATACCAGAGTTGTAATGAGACAGGCAGGTATGGGGATATGGCTAGTGGATAACATGCTTTGACACATGCTAAAACTGTTGTGCCAACTGGTTACAACCCACTTGACTGTGGCGATGACATTTATAAATGCCTATGTCGTCCCTTTTCATTGTAGCACTTCATACTGCAGGGTGAATTTAAAAAAAAAAAAACCCTGCAGATATATTAAAATTGATCTCAAATCTGAAACGCTGCTTGTAGTAGATTAAGGGATTTTAACTATACAATGATTATATACAGTATTTAGCATGTCCTCCTCTGATCTGTTTACATACCTCCTTGAATGCCTTTGATTATAGCATATCTTTGCTGTAGGCCACACCCCATCACTGACCAGCAACCAGTGGAGTACCACACCCAACGCTGCAGGACAGGAAATGAAAAGGAAGCTCTCCATCTGATCAGCTTCTGAGTCTGGGACTTCAAAGTGACGGCAGGGCGGAGAGGAGACGTAAGGATAGGCCCGACTCACAGGCTGAATAGTGCCCTATCTGATATGCTCCGATAAAGAGTGTTTGTTTATTTAATTTTTTTTCTTTTTTTTTCTTTTTTTTTTTGGGGGGGGGGGGGGTCCAAAACTACATAACATTTTGTTCCTCTTTCTAAGAGTGGAACAGGAAGTGAGTTTAATTTTGGATTGGAGCCCTGGATATCACTATTTATATCTCTGGTTTGCTGAACAAGAAGGTTGCCGGTTTAGTTTTGGTGGAGTTAATTGTTCATGCACATAAAGACAGAAATTGTGATTTTTTTCTTTTACATTCATAAATTGCAGTTGAAGCTTAATTAAAAAGAGATCTGACTCCTGCACTATCAACATCTTCCGTTTCCATCCCTTGCAGGACTGACATTTCTTGATCTCCACCAGTATTGAGTGAAGCACACATGACCCCTTTGTCCTTATGTTGATGAATGACTGCCTCATACCCATTTTGTCAGATTTTGGTGCAGTGGAGTCGATAGCGTCACCTTGACGAGGAAACTTTGTGATCCATCAGCCCTCAAGGCTGTCTGGCCTCAACTAAGACCTGGCAAGAGCAGCTCACTGTATGGGGCATCTGCTCCATCCAAAATCCTTCACCCAGTGTGCTGCGATCTTGTGAGGTCGAAGGAATGGCTCTTATTACTGCCGCTTTACGGTGAGGAAGAAAAAAAAAAAAGAAAAAACACTTGACTTGTACTAATAGCTGAGAAGCCATGCTGGTCACCAAAGGTCTGAAGACGAAGCACCCTGTCAGTGCCCAGCTTGGGAAATTAGCAAATAATGTTCCCTTCCCCCTGACAAATGTGTGACAGCTCGCCTTCGCCAATCATTCTCTCCTAACGTTATGATGCATGTCCTGGATCCCCACTGGAGGATACAGGCGAAGTTTACTGACCCTCAATTTACCCATGACAAATGGGGTCCCGGTAAATGTGCGTTTTCTGGGGCGCGGAAGGGGTTCATTTTAAGCAATCCTGGTTATGTGGATGTCACTGATTAGGATAAATAGTGGCTGAGTGTGTTAGGACTGCTTGCAGAACCATATTACCAAGGGCCTGCATCGTTGCCCCTAGAGGAGAGCTCACATGGAAACTTGGCCAAGATAGAAAACCAAAAGCTCTGATGCAATTAGGAGCTTAAATTGGATAAATTGTACGGTCAAAGTTTTTATTTATGATTTACTCTTTCATACAGTACTGTAAGTATGCAGTAAAAAGGTTAAGATGCTGCAAATGAGGCTGAAAATGGAGACTTTTCCTTTAAAAAATATCTGATCAAACCAGCATGTACTGTTTGCAGCGCTTAATAAAGTGTAAAGTATAATAAAGTATTGACTCAGGTACAGCCAGGACTTTCTCCTTTTGATTTTCTACAACCTTGCTGACAGTTGGTTCTACTAGTCCTGTCCGGACCAATGGATAACCAATACATGGATTAGACAGAGGACAAGCAAGCAACCGCCAAGGGACAACACTTTGTTAGAAGGTAAAAGGTATAGACTGTAAAATAGCAAAAATAGCTAACATGTCATTGCTTTAAAAATGTGGCAATTAAAGTACAGATATAAGCTCCTTGAAGCAGTCAGTAAACTACAGCCTACTAAACTTTTATATAGTATGTCTGTTTGTCTCATTAGTGTTTTAAACATTCAATAGTCAATGCCAACAGGATTATTTGACATACACTACAGGGTGCTCTCTTTCTGAGAATGGATTGTGAGTTTTGGAGCCGTTCCAGGGTACTAACCCGAGTGAGGACGTGTCCCTCCGCTGTTCGAATTGACTGCAGTCTCCTCTGTGTTGACTCTTGGTAATTTGTGATAATTTCTTAAATTGAGCGAGTTAAATCTCCACAATTAGGGTGGTGGTGCAAGAAGAGTCAACATGAAAAAAAAATGACTAAAAAGGCACTCCTCTCAAGCCGTGCTCTGAAGTCACGCTTGAAGCCATATGCTTTGATAACTAGACCTTTGATATGCACATGTTGCTCTCCAATATGACACCGGAACACTCTGTGCCTTTTAGACAGCACTGTTTCACTACATGCCCTTCTCAGCCCATGTAATTTGCTATTGTAACCCTGGGTCATTTCAAATCTATTTGCTCGTGTAGTGCCATTTGTTTGAGTGCTGTATCACAGAAAGAAACGCTACGGTTTTGAAATGAGCTGTTTCACCCTTAAATACATGATCCACTCTCCTGCACTCAACGCATCAACCCATTCACACTTTAATGTCTGAGAGAAGTAGCTAACATCCTTTCACCTGGCAATTACTGTACATATGGAATCAGTGATACCTCATTCTGGCGTTATGCATCCTGCTCTCTTTAACGGTTTCATTCTCTCAAGCGTCAACCCTCGTACAATCAGGGTGAGCCACACAGGGAATAGCAGAGCAGTGGAGAGGAGCTGGACCTGTCTATTGGTGACTTTCTCTTTTAATTCACCGCACTAATCAATTGTACCACCATTGCCTCAAGGGGTAATTGTATCTTTATACTAACTGGAAGTGAGTAGGAACCCAGGGAAGACAGAGAGGAAGAATGGGGAGGGGGATCAACAAAGATAGAAAGAAGGGGGACACGTTTCCCCAGTAAAACCTGATGGTAATCATCCCAATCCGCTTAGCCTCTGTGACTAATGGGGTCTGTTCTTAAGGGACCTGGCACTTTCACCAGGGTGCTATAGAAGCCATTAATGTCTTAACTTATACACCTTCTCAGGGCTGTGCAGTAACACATGTACACACAGACACAGACACACGCAAACGCACACACACACACACACACACACTTCCTCGCTGCTCGCTTGCTCACACAAACAGACACACATACACTCACACAGCCACACTACACTCCTGTTTCATTATCCCGGTGCCTTGTTGGCCTCTGCTCCGCTCCTGCTAGGGAGGTTAAATGCAGGAGAGCTGGGCCAGACTGCACGGTTGGAGGAGAAGGGGACGGATGGCTGGGGGTTGAAGTGGTGGAGGTTTGGGGAGCAAGAGAAGGAGGGGGGGGGGGCTTGATGAGAAACAGCTGCCCCAGGATGGAGGGGTCTGGACGGGGGTTTTGGAGGGGTGGGTGCGTATGTGTGTGTGTGTGTGTGTGGGGGGGGACCAGCCCTCACTTTGCAATTCTGCTCTGCTCAAGGCCAGGGCTGTGCTGGAGGCCTGGGGGTGCTGGGGGAAGTGAGAGTGGCTTTGATGCGCCCCCGTTTCATTCTGCCCATCAGAGTTGGAACAGACAGAGGCTTCCAGGTCAGACAGGCTCTGACCCCCGCAACCTCTGTCTCCTCACCAATGATGACAGATAAGACCACCACTTCCTTCTGTTAGCCAAGATAATCAGATCCCTTACTTATAGTGTGACACACACACCCTTTCTCTCCAACATACACATCCGTGTCGTCTCTCTGTGCACACTTTCTCTCCCATGAATTCACAGAATAACTTCAGGCACACTCACGCACTTAACCTAGATATTGCTTCTCTAACCTGATTCATAAAAAAACATGAAATCACATTTTGCCTTATGAAATCAGCAAATTAGCAGAAAGCATTATCAGTCTCACAACAGGGTAGATTAAGCAAACTGGCAGAATGAGTCATCCTGACAGCTTGAGTTTAACAGGGCTTGGCAGCGCCCTTGTATGATGGCAGGTCAGAGGGGGATCGAGTTGCACTTGTAGGAGCCCCTCCACGAAAACATCTTTTCGCTAGCGGGGCAGATCTCACACATTTAACATTCAGCGAGCAGGGCCCTGGTTAGTCCATTAATAGCGCCTGGACATGGGGCGGAGGCCTCCATCCAGACAGAGGTAGGAGAGGGAGCAGAGGCACAGGAGAGGCCTGTAGGAAAAGAGGGAGAGAGGGGTTCGACTCACCAGTATAGACAAATCTCCCAGGGGCGCCTTTGCAGAACTGCTTGGACTTGTAGGACAGCGTGACTTCCACAACACCGGGGATGTGCCGAGGTGGAGTCTGGACGCGGATGGCGTGGGGAGTTATCAGCTGAGGAAATGAAAAGAAACAATGAGCCCTCTGCAATAATGAACCACAGAGTATGTGCTGTTATCAGTGCTGGCTAGAAAGTTTTTGACAGTTTTTTGAATTTGTAATATTCGGACTGAATTTCAGTAACAAAGACATCATACCTCACTCCATACGAGCATGGTGCCGAACACGACTTGTAGGCCATCAAAGAAGTTGTCCCCTATGATGATGACAGTGGCTCCTCCAGTGGTCCATCCCTCACTGGGGCTGATAGCCTTGATGCACGGGGTGGCTGCTTATCCAAGACAAAGAGAAGAGCAAATTCAGCACCTAGGCTTCAGCAGTGGGGGCCCATGTCTCTTTCCACACAGACACATTACTGCATCACCTCTACATTCAGCCCTCCATGTCTCTCTCACAAAGACATATCATGGAAATTGCCCCTGGTAAAAAAAAAAAAAAAATGATGGATTTGTCCTTTAAGGCATGAGAATCAAAATCATTTATCAGCGCGCTGGAGTGGTGTAGTTAAGCAGACCCTTCAAATGGTCCACTTCACAAAGGCTAAACGCCGGGCTCGCCAGGAAAATGATTTGATGGAGCAAATTATGTGTCAGGGCAAATGTAGCTATCAGAATTGATTAAGCATGCACTCGCATGTACAGTAAAATTTCAAAGTTGAACACATCTCAAATGAGTCAAGAATACAGGCTGTTAAAGTGGAAATGACAAGCTAAAGCTTTGCTGGTTCATGTTATTTCATTACCTTTGTTCTGCATATGCAGTACAGTGCAGACACATGGAGTGTAGTTTCAGGTTTCATAACGTGAAATGCACTCATGAATTATTCAGATTGAGTTTTTTTTTCTTTCTTTTTGTGATCGATTCAATCCATTTCATATTGTTTATTACAATGCTTTTCATCTGGCATGACTTCTGCTACGTAGCTCTGCCATTCATCAACAGTCTGGGTTGTTATTATAATCTAATTTGAGTGATCTGGTGCCTCACATTCACTGTCATTTGATGCATTACCTTAATATGGTGTTCAGCACAACACCGTGTTTACAACAGGAATAGCATGACAGCTAGCCATAAAATAGCAATATCAAATTTAATCTATTTCCATCAATATCTTTTAATACACTATGAATTGTGCATGTTTTTCCTACTCCTCAAAATGTGAGAAACTATTTCAGCAAGTTCCTTCTTACTTTACAAGCTCAGTTCTAAACCTCTATTATCCTTTCCATCCAGTAAGTAAATCACAGTCGGCCATTGTTGTATGAATCACCTCAGACAAGACATCTCCCTTTGTTTGCCTTGCTGTTGGGTCTGTTCAGGTCATGTTTGCTCTCTCTCCCTGCCCATAAAGTGCACACACACACATTGGTACTACAGGGAATCTGACTTTAACAGGCGCTGTTGACTTCATGCTAATCACCTCGTACAGATTTTCATTTGTGAGGCCTGGAGGAGTGACATTTGCTTTCCTTAATTGCGAAGCGGAGCGTCTGAAAGAGGACCAACCCTCTATGGGCATGCTGGGCCCCCTCTAAGGGCCTGACCTTCATCAGTGCGGACGATTACAGCAAATAATTCACCCTTCAAAATTACTGTAAACAAATTGACTTTGGGGATGAGAGAGAGGGGGGGGGGGCGGCAGGAAGGAGGAGGAGGCAAGAAGAGGGCCTGATGGTGACGGTGACTGTTGGGGGGCAGCTGCAGCCTCAAAAACCTACGACAGGCATCCACAGTCGTGCGCGTATGCACACACACACACGCACACACACACGCACGCACACACGCATGCACACACAAACACAGACGCACCACCTCGGAAATCCCAGTGCCCCCTCCCACACACAGTAGGACCCATGGAGAGGCAGCGACTGAGGCCCTAAGCCGTCCACCCTTCTGCCTAAAAATTTGCATATGTCTCAATGCACAGACAGAGAGGGGAGCATGTGCTGAATGGGGACCGTGGCGAAGTGGATTACACAGTCAGCGCAGGCGATCTGATGACAGACACGCACAATGCCCCCTCAGCAGATGATAGGCATCATGAGGAGTGGACGGATGAGGATGCAAAGAGCCGGCCTGCCGGTGTGAGTGTTGCATCACTAAGTCTTTGCAAACTTTGGGCTACAGTAGAGGAAATTCATGCGATTTGAATTCATATGTCATCACTTGTTTTGGGGTTTGTTTGTTTTGTTTTTTTTGTGCTGAATTGTTACTTGAATTTATTTCAAGATCCAGTATACCGTGAAATGACCGCAGGCAGCCGATCTGTGATCTATCCTAATCTTTTTCCTCTCTGGTTAGGGTTTGGCTGTAGAGGACGTCAAAACTGATCCGAGATCTGAGCGGAGGAGGTCCCTGCTCTAGTATTGTGACACTCAAACAGGTCTAATGTGGCCCCGCGAAGCCGTCCTTTGTTCTGCCTGCTGAAATGTGTTGTAATTGTGCTGTGGGATGTCCAGATGGTCGGTTGATAGTGCAGCTGATGGGATTATACCTTTTACCTCTCCCTGGGCCATCTGTTCCCTTTGACTCTCTCTCCCTCTCTCTCCCTCTCTCTCCCTCTGCCTCTCTCTCACTCTGAACCTCTCTCTCTCATACTCTCTCCTTCTCTTTCTCCTTTCCTCCTCTCCTTTTTCCCCCTTTCTTTTCTCCCTCTCTTTCTTCCTCTTAGGCCCAGCAGTCTGGATTCACTTGTCTTTATTGCATAAACCCTAACAGCATTACAGCCACTTGGCATGCAAATGAGGCAGGCGCTGCAGGCTCTATGCTGAGTCTCCTATATTGTCTGGGGCTCTATAATGGTGGAACTGAGCTAAGGAACGTGTGTGTGTGTGTGTGTGTGCGCGCATGTGTGTGTGTGAGTGAGAAAAAGAGACAGATATGTGTGTCAGTGCTGTGCTGTTTGTGTGTGTGTGTGTGTGTGGGGGGGGGGGGGGGGGGGTGATGCTGTGTGTGAAAGACTCGGCTATTTGTGAGCATGTTTATGCACCTTTGAGCCTGAATCTATACATGTTTGAGTGACAGGCAGCCACAAAGCACATTCGTGTCTGAATGCATAATATGCTTGTTGTGTGACAGTCCACACAAGTGAACAAAAATGTCACATGGTGAGATTCAGTCTGTCATCTGCGGGCTATCCCATCTCTGTGCCAATAGGGGGCAGCACGTCTTGATCAATGCGAGGCGGTGGGTTGCAAAGTGCAATGTGAGCTGAGAGGAAGGATGCCTCTCTGTTTCAGCCACACAGTCAGTCAGTCAGTCAGTCAGCCAGCCAGCCAGCCGGCCACATATCTGAGGCTTCTCGCCCAGTGAACTCCAGAGGAAGAATGTGTTGCTAATTTAAAGCACGCTCTCTGTCTGCCTGCTAGTTGTCAGAGCACTATGGAGGGTAAGGCTGGAATTACATTTTATGACCGGGTCTCCTTTCCTCATGTGTCACATCTCTGTTTGTTAAAGGTGACTTAAACAAAGCAAGTGATCGTTGTTGATGCATGTTAAATTAGTTTATTTTGGAGCTGAGTCTGGGAGCGAGAGAAGAGGGAAAAAAAAAAAAAAAAAATCTTAACTTGTGGGAGCACACACGGTTAAGCAAGGTGTATTAAAGTTATTAGACAAAGACATGTTCAACTGGGCGGTTGACAATAGCTTCTTTTCTTGCTTTACGGGGCGTCACTCTGCTGCTTTGAAGAGTGTGGAGAAGAGAGGAAGAAAAGGATGGGTTGGGGTAACCTGTAAAGAACACAAGCACACACACACACACACACACACACACATACACACACACACACGTACACACACACTCACACACACACACACAAAACACAGAGGGTCCCGTGGGAGTGGGGGAACATGGAGGCGAGGGCTCAACCTCTTTAATTGCTCTCCTCATTAAGAAACTGGTTGCTAGGCGATCCACACCTATCGTGTCATAAACGTGAAACACACAAACAGAACGTCAGCGAACATAATGACTTTGGTGCTCCGGGCAGGACTTTAATTATTTGATTTTGTTCTCCAGTAGAGGAGTCATTAATAAAGACAAAAACAAATAGATTAGCTTTTCCCCCACTAGGACTGGAGAGCACTGAGATATATTAATTGTCTAGTCTTTTTTTTTTTTTTTTAATTTTTTTATTAGTCGTTGTTGTATTAAACATTACATTTGCTTTTGGTGATAGAACCATTAATGCCCATTAATGTGTAGAGAAGCTTGTTTTAGTCAGTGGTGTATATAAACTGTTTGCCCAGCCATAATTGGCTCTTGAAATCTGAAGATAAGCAATTTGCACAATTGGCCCAAGTCAGTTTTTTTTTTTTTTTTTCTTACAATCTTTCAGCTGTGTGTGCTCCCATCTGCGAGTGGAGGCCATGAGGGTCACAAGGTTATGTTTAGTGCGTTTTACTTTTTGGATTTCCCATGGTTTGGTGGTCCTTCTTTTCTCTCTTTTTGGCTGAGCAGGCAATCAGTCTATCATATGGAATCAGTTGGAGGAAAAACAGTAAGTTCTGTTTTTCTCATAGGCCACCCCCCACCCCACCTCCTCCACACACACACACACACACACACACACACACACACACACCATCAGCCCACCCTTCCAACCCCCCCTTCCTCTCTCTCTTTCTCCTTCCTCCCCCTGTTTCAGCTCTCTCTCTCTCTCTTTCACACACACACAGCTAAATCTGCAGAGCCCAATGACAGGAAATTGACCTCACAGCCAAATTCTTAAGCAATTTGATCATGTTTCACATACGCTTTTAGGACAAATGTAGGTGCATTAGGAGACTGGAAGTAGTGTAACATTTTTAAATCTTGAATTTGTCTGAGTATTATCATCATCATTAGTGATATTAAAATGATGAATACACTTAGTAATGCATGCTATTTCCAGTGAAGAAATAACAGTAAGTATGAGGGAGGCAAAAAAGCAACTTAAAAAAAAAATGAAAGTGATGGAGGAACAAAAGGTTCTAAGGAACTAGAAGCAGCTACAGTAGGTGTGTGGTTTGTAAAATGGGAGGATGTCTGAATAGAAACTAAAAGGAAAAAAGGAGCGTAGCAAATTATAAGATGTAAAAATGTGCCTACCATTCTCCAGATAAGGAGGCGTACCTTCTGAAGGGTCGAGTCTGCGAGCCCTTCGCCCATGCTTGGAATTGTTGTGTACGAACATGTTGTCAGAGACAGCCAAGACATGGCCGTCCACATTGACGGTCGTCGATACGACAACCTGCAACAGGAGTGAAGGTGAAACATGTAATATAGCATTATTGTGGAAAAGGAAAATACAAACAGAGAATTGTTCTGGAGTACAGAGGATACATGAATGCTTTAGAAATACTGTTGTGTCCACGTACATGCGTGTGTGCTATTGATTACTAGTGTCAAACCTCTTGAAGCTGTCGTTCTCTTTGGACGTATCACGTTACAGTTTCCTTGGCTTCTCAGCCATTTTGTTTTTGGTTTTTAGAGTCTTGCATTTGTGTACAGCTAATTGACTTTTCAATCACTAAAATACCATTTCCGTTCACCCACTCTACCAACTGTCATCATAGGCGAAGCTCAGAATTATTGATCAGCTTGTCCATCTATTTGAGGACGGAAGGCCTCCCTTTTAAAATATTACTGGAGTCATTACCAGCTGAACCGTACTCCATCCCATCACTCAACAAACATTTTACCAGGATCAGATTCCAAGCCACACTCCATATTTCATAATGCTTATTTTTGTTGTTGTTTTTTGGCTACCACATCTCCAAACAGTGAGCCGCGTGTGAATGGCCAAAGTGTTTCTGAGCCGGAAACAGAGAGCCCCTCTCAGGTTTGCTTCGCCGGTAAGTGACCTCGGTGTAGCAGTGGAATTTAGGGGGGTAGCTTTTTCTTTTTTCTCTTTTTTTTTTTTTTTTTGGGTTGGTTTGGGAAGGGTGGGGGTGGTGGGTGTAGGGGGAGAGATGGGGAAGTGAAAGAGCTCCATTCTTGTGAGCAGGTTCAGAGCTGGGCCAAGCTGAGGATGATGGATTGGGCCCTCTCTGGCCTCCAGCTGGTTTTTGGGGGTAATAAGTGGAGTGGAAGGCATGCAGCATACACAACTTTGGCCAGAGAAACACCTATGCTGGAGCATCTGGGAAATATATTTGGGGGAAAAATGACACACTAACTCTTGGAGTGAAGACAAGGGATGAACATCAGCAAATTGAAAAAAAAAAAAAAAAATCAAAATCCAAACTCTTGTTTTAGACTTAACATGAACATTTTAATTTCACAAAAAATGAGAGGCTGCAACTTAGTTCTTGCATTCCTTTTGACACATAGGAGTGAGAGGTGAAAGCCCCTGGTGGCTGTCATGCATCAGTCCACATTCACCCTGAGGGAAGATTTGAGGAGGCAGGGGAGGTCTGATGGTGGTGACATCAGGAGGGGACACCCTGTCTTGTCTGTTTCATGTCTGGGGCTTCCTCCTGGAGGATGCTGGCTTGTGTGTCTATCACAGAACAGTGCTGTCAGTGACGGACGCCCTCCTGTAGTTTGTCGTTATCCTGATAGGACAAATCACACTAAACTCTCACTCGCTCACCTTGACCTAGTGGGCTGCTTGTGGTGAAAAAGTCTGAGTAGGATGGATGGATGGTTGGATAAATGGATCAGCTAGGAGGGGTGGGGGTGGGGGTGGGGGGGTGTCAATAATTTCAAGGCTCAACTTCTTGACACATTAGAAGCGAGAGGGTTAAGGAAGCAATAAAAGTGCTCAACGGTCATGTCATTTTAATGTAAATCGCAGCATTTTGTCAGCCTGCAGTAATGATGGTTTTCAGATGGTTTTCACTGGCTACATAAAGAATCGCATATGTGTGACTTTAAGTGTATGCATATGCGGGTTAGAATGAGAGAGGGATATAAAGAAAGCAAATATATGCGCTCCTAGCGTGTATGTGCATGCATCCATATGTGTGTGTGTGTGTGTGTGTGTGCTTGCGCCTATGTGTGTATAAGAAGGTATGCGTTTCCGCTGCCAGACAGATCCTGAGTTAACACTGTTGTTACATGTGGTCGGATCGTCCTCCCCTCTGCGCTGAGGCTCAGAAAGCTGTCAGGAACACAATTGATGGCACTCTTAAATCCTATATCCTTATTTGTGTCAGGTGGTACTCCCTAATAAATATTCTGTCCAGAGCGCACAGGACACAAAATCCCACCGCTCTCTCACTTTCCCCGGGTTTTGCCTCCTTCAGTGCCAATAATAGAATTGTATACATATGTGGACGTGTGTTGAGATGACTTAGTGTAGTGCAGTTGTGCATCTGAACACCTGTGTGCGTGTGTGTCTGCACAAAGGGAGATAGACAGCGAGAGACAGAAATAGACAGAGCATATGTGTGAAATGGATTTCAGTTACCTGGAATCTGCGCATGTCTCGTGGGTTCCCTGCATTCTTCAGACAGTTCTGATTGCACTTGAGAAAGAACTTTAGGAAGAATCTGAAAGAGAGCACACACAAAAAAAGAGGCGAAAAACTATTAATAATAGATCGAATATTTGAATAAGATTTCTCAAACACTCCCACGTCTGATCCATTCATCCGGCGAGTCAGAAACAAACGTGACACTACACTGTTTCAGCGGGGAAGTCGCAGTGTTTAATATTCCCTCAAAATCAAGAGCATCAGTCTCTTTGTCATCTCATCCCCTCACCTGAGTTCATGGGTCTTTCCCAACACCCATCTGCCACTAACATACAGGAAGTCACTTGATATTCCACCCACCTCTTTAATCCCAGGACACCCCCTGTGCAATTAAAGTTCTCCTGTTCAATAGGGAAGCAAATGAGGCCCACCTGTGACCAGGTCTTGTTTGAAGAGCATCAGGGATAAAGGACCTAACAAGGTGAGAGCGCGCCACAAAACTTATAGTCCTGTCAGGCAATTAGGCGGACACTCTGGGGACCACCGTATGCCACACACACACACACACAGACACACACACACACACACACGCATAACGCATACACACACCCATGCACTTGTGGGTGGGTGAGGCAATTATGCCACAAATTACAACCTGGCTAATCGTCTCTGAACAAATGTCACGTCTGAGTGAGATCTGGGCTTGGTTAGTTTGTAAGCTGCCTTCCTCTGCCGCCTTCTCTCAGGTCTCACTGAATTTACAGATGCAACCTCATACTGAGAGCCATGTATAAGATGTGGCCTCACAGACGTAGAACAGTTAAATAGAGGAAGATGAACAACAAGGCCCAAAAAAGAAAAGAAGACTGTCTCAGATGTAGCCTATTGTGTAAAAATCTTACACAACCATGCAGAATAAACAATGAAATTGACTTGTTGTTTCTGCAAATTCTCCCCACAGAATCATGACTGATTGTGCCTTTGCTTTCTCCGATTCATTATAAATACCATGCCGTGATATTTATTTTTCATCACATTGCACTAGCATTACTATATGCAATACTGTGGTTTCCATTGTAATACTAACTTGGCTCGCTGAATCACAGCCGCTCATTGGATTACCATAGATTGCACCATAGATTGCATGGCCATTTCATTCAGCTAAATACAGTGGCTTGTGTGGCCTGTGAGGACGCTTTCACAACACTTAAGACTTCTCGTTCGCCCAGTGGGATCCCGGCCAGGCCATAAATCAGAGTCTGAAATGACCCCTCTAACCCTGGCCACATTAACACATGCACTGGTCATTTAGAAGCGTTCTTCGATAGACTCCTATACCTTGTGCTTCACTGAGGGCCCAGGAGGGAGAGGAGAGGTGAGAAAATATTTTCACTCCACATCCAAGTAGCTTTGGCTTGGACATCAATAAAAGGCGTTTTAACCCATGCCAGAATGCTGATTGCCTGTCGGTGTGTGGTGAGGCCATAAAAAACCTGACTTGTCATTAGTGCATTTCGCTTGATTGTGTTCACTGTGTTTTCGGGTTGCATCTGTTGGCTGATCATCAAAATGACCATTATGTACTCTAATTCCCTGACCCTGTTTTTATTTCCCCAAAGAGTCATAATGTAGAGCAGCAGACATCTGCGGAAAGCAGACCTGAAATACGACTTTTATTTGTCTGTCGCCTCTCATACAGATTGGGTAAGGCCAGTGTGTGTGTTTGTGCGTGTGCGAGCGTCCGCGCGCGCGCATGTGTGTGGACACGCACATCCACACACGCGTATGTGTGTGTGAACCTGTGCGTGTACATGCATCACCCGTTGGTAGACAATTTATGTCAGAGAAAGAGATAGAATACATTTCCCAGGCAATACATTGACTTCATAAAAGAAACACATTACTTTCAGCGTTAGTCTCGTCTCTTCTCTTGGATACTCTGAAGCTTTTACATACTGTTTCTACTAGAGTGAAAGCAAAAGTTAAGAAACAATAAACACAAGAAACTGAGTGCCCACGCTATCATAAAGTAGCTCCTTTATGTTTACTGTTATGAAGGCAATTAAGCACAATTTCTCTGCTAAAAAGATAAGCTTAATTTTCATAGTCCACAGCAGTGGCAGCGCTATAGCATCCATTACATTTGAGTTGGTTAAGATTCTCCATGAGCACAGTGCAAATTGGTCCTTGGTGAAAAGGAGAGCAATTAAGACAAGGCCCCTCTCTCTCTGTTTTACTTCTTAAATATCTACAGAAGTTTGTGCTGGTGTTTTGGCACGCACAGAGACAAAAGGAGGTTGTTTAATTGTTTTTTAATGGGATATCAAGTCGTCGCTGCCATTAGATGTTGGCAATGGAGGGCAAAGGGGGATAGAGAGAAAGAATGAACTGCAATTAGGTTTGATTAAAGCTATCCTTCTCAATAATCAGCTGTTCTGACAGGACAGGGGGACCCTGGTGGCCGCTGAGATGGAGGAAGGTGTTGAGTGATATTAAGGCCAATGAAGGGGATATTAACATGGCTAATTAAAGCTCTTCCAAAGCCGGGAGAGGAGGCTCTCAGCGGACCGCACTGGATGAAATAATCGGCCAAGGCAGCTATCAGTTGGAGGAGAGAGAGAGAAAGGGAGTGCGGGAAGGGGTGGGGTGTAGTCCATCTGAGGGAAGGGGGGAGTAGAGGGAGGGATAGTGGGAGGCGTAAAGGAAAACTATGAAGTGTGAAGAAAGACAAAGAGGAAGACATCGACAGGCATATAGAGAAAGACTTCCAGGGCAGCCAAGGAAGCTCATTTTGACATCAACTCTTTCTGTCTGCATGCCTGAAGTCTGCCAGTATAACTAAGACCTGACATCAGCTTTTATCCTCGACAGCTAGTCATACAGGTCCACAAATCAACGTTAAAACAATCCTGCTCATGCCTTGGTCTAAGGCAATTAATACGATTCTCCTGTAGTACCTCCATGCTCGCCCACTGCCGAAGCTACTAATCATGCCATAATGATTTCTCTCCCTCTGGTCAAAGGGGAAATAGATTGTCTCTTTAGTAATGCAGCAGGCTCTGCGCCTTCCACTCCCTGGCTTCACAGACCCGGTAATTGAGGAGAAAAAGGCCGACTTTGGCACTTTGACTGATTTGAGGGCTGCTAGACCCTCTTATCTTTACTCTGATCATTTTAGGCTGACACTCAAAGGAAGACCCATCGCCCTAATTCTAGCTCACCCTCTCCCATCATCAAACAGAGGGGGAATAGAAAAAAAGGAAGAGAGAGAGGGAAAAAAACAAACAGGCGAGGTGAGGAAGGCCTTCTCTCATTTAAATGGCCAACTTAATTGCTGGGTTGATGTCACTCATGCATAAATGTCCATCCCTTTGATTTGAGTGAAGAGGGCAAATAAGGATAATGTTGTATTATTAAGAAGGCTCCACCGACAGTGGAGGCAAGCTATCCTGTCAATTTCATTCATTTTTTTTTATCCATTCATTTTGAGATTTTTATTATTTTTAATGACTTGTAAAAAATTAAAAGTTAAGTCTGAGCTATTTGAAATTACTTTCACATGCTGGTTTCTTAAATTACATCCACGAGACTGATTTCCCCCCCCCCCCTTAATAGTACACCTTGTTCTTATTGTACCAAAGAGCTTCCCTACATTTGTTTAGGCCGTTACACAATACACTGACAGATGGCCACAGTATCTGTAAGAGTCAGGTATTGACAACTCTAAGCTCCTGATTGGTGCCCCGGCACTAATGACTAGCATGCAGTGTCCACAGCCGGCAGCCATGACAGTGAGGTCATCCGTTGCAGGGCGGTGAGTATCGATCACCACCCAGCTCCAGCCCATCAGGCCCCAGCTGCCTCCCAGACTCAATGGGCCCCTGTTACAGGAGCCCTGTAAGAAACGGCTCCCAACACCAGACTACAATCTGCTGACACCAGATCTCTACGCTGAGATAGTAGTACACGGGTCAATAGCGTATCGGATTTCCAAAACGCCAGGGTCTTAATGTCAAGCCTCCTGCCTTCCCTACCTACTGCTCCAGTTATTAGGCACTCCACTGAACTGCATTCAGATCCCTGTTGTGACAAGGCGGAGCAGGTAAAACGAGAAATAGAGACACTTATAGATCTTAATCTTCCCGAACACTTATTTATGCAACTGAGTGGGCTTGGATATATATGCCAGTTAAGTCCCTGGGAGGCCGTGCAGAGCTGCGTGGCCATTTCTGTCGTATTCTGGTTCGCCGCTGTCTTCTCTCGTCAAGCAGAGCTGTTTTTCTCGCCTTAGCTGAAGTAAACCACAGCACATTAACAATATTTGCTCTACCCCTGTACAAGCGCCAAGGGACCAGACCCACAGATCCTATCACTTCTTTATCAGGGAACAAGTGCCTCACTATCCAACCTTATTGGGTTTGGGAGATTAACCCCTTCCACTCACAGACTTCTGCCTATTTCCTCCGAGAGCAGCAAGGCAGATGTCACTGTGATTATTATTGTTCGACATCAAATATCCCAACTACATGTCTCTGAGAATTTATTGAGTATTTCCAAGGCCTATATTCTGTTTTTATTTTTATTTTTTTTATATATTTTTTCAGCTGCTATTGTCAGTTCATTTCGTTGTTTCATATTTCATATTTTTGTTAGTGGTGTGTGTGTTGCACGGGTGTCACAAATAATTTATGTGCTTCCTCTGCACCCTAAGATGTAGCTGTGTCCCTCCATTCATCCCTCTTTACCCTCTCCTCCACCATCCCCCTTTCTCTCTAATGGGCAGAGTGGCATTGACATTATTTCACTTGAGGATCCCTCACTCTGTCAATCCCTCTTCATTTACTCCATGGCTACAGGACTCATTATGGTATCTCTTCCTCCTTCTCTCTCTCTCTCGTGCTCTCACTCATTCCCCTCACCTCCTGTCTCGCTTGCTCCACGGCTCTCTCTCTCCCTCCCTCCCTCTCTCTCTCTCTCTCTCCGGACACTGTTAGTTTCTTACTTAAGAGAATCGCTCGTCTTCACAAATGGTTTCACGTCAAACCCACTCCTAGCTAGCCCCCACTGATTCCCTTC